CCCCCCCCCCCCCCCCCCCCCCCCCCCCCCTCTTTTTTTTTCGACACTGCAGTCATCTGTGGAAGTGTCCCGACTATACCGCACGATCTGCCAAGTGGTAAGCAGTTGCAGACGAGAGAATTAGCTTACATCTACCTTCTTCCCCCAAATACAACGTATGGTCATTATAACTGTATGTACACTGAAGGATACCCCAAATTCAGCTATAATGACCGTACGGCGTACGTTGTATTCGGGAGAAGACTGTAGTGTGTGTTGAATCGAATATTCAACAACTTCAAGTATTAATCATCATAAGTCAAGGACTAAAGCAACCATGGAACCTTTCATCACCATTCCCTCACTGCTATGTCAGAGTCAATGCTTTGTTGACACGAGTCTGACGTAGACTCAGCATTTCTCATCCCCTTGTGTGGATGGGATCCCGACAGGGCCTGTAGCTGTGTCCGACAGGGTCTGCTTCAGGGATCGAAGGGGGTGGGGTGCAAATGTGGAGGTGCTTGCTGATGAAAGGGGGTTGGACCCATTGGAAAGCTGTCACTAGGCCCGTTGATGCATCAGGGATCGTGTCTGTATTCCAACAGTTCCTGCGTGTGCCAACTGCACTAGGCCGGTTGGTGCATCTAATCTCTCCGTCTCCTGTAGTTTCTGTTTTACTCATCCAGGCAACCTCCCTGGCTATGGTGATCTGCTTGTCGATGGCTATGGTGGACATCTCCTTTTCTCCAAAGATGAAAAAAAATGGCACTCTTTCTGCGAAAATGTCGTAAAAACTTTATAATACAAATAAATAACAACCTGACAGCGCCGCACTTTCCCTGGAATTACTCATGGGATATTGTCTTTTGCAGAACCGCAAGGGCGAGCCTGAAGGCACACCTGATGAAATAATGGCTATGGTGAAGAATCTGGCATCCATGCCGCACAGGCTTATCCTGTTCCTCCAGCAAAGCAGTGTGGAGTGGTGCAGTTCCTTATGGCTCGATGTCATCCGAGAAGTGGACCCGACATTTCGCCGGACAATTCTGGTGGCCAGTAAATTCGATAATCGACTCAAGGTAAGGATTTTTTGCTGCTGAAACATCTCTTTTTTGGTCTTATCCATACACTCTCTTTTGAAATTCTCCCTTCTCTACCCCCCCCCCCCCCCCCCCCCCCCCAATAGCTTGCTTGCATCATCCTCATGTGCAACCCCCTCATCCGCATGTGCGACCCCCTCATCCGCATGTGGGACCCCCTCTTGTTATGGCTGTGCACAAACCCCCCATCCGCATGTGCGACCCCCTCATCTGCATGTGTGACCCCCTCTTGTTGTGGCTGCGCAACCCCCTCATCCGCATGTGCGACCCCCTCATCCGCATGTGTGACCCCCTCTTGTTGTGGCTGTGCAACCCCCTCATCCGCATGTGCGACCCCCTCTTGTTGGGGCTAGTATAGCATGTGCGACTCCCTGTTGTTGTCTAATCGACTCAAGCGGATGTGCAACCCCCTCGTCCGCATGTGCGACCCCCGCTTGTTGCAGCAGATATAGCATGGATAAGCTGCAGTGCCGCACAGTCAGCCTGGTACCTGAACCTGAGATGCTGGTGTTATGATTATTTTGATTTAAATTTTGGACCATTTCTCGACATCATCCTCGAGCAGGGGCCATGCTGATCTTCTCTGTATCGGCCCAATGTTAATGGGTGTCCCGAAGGAAAGAGACGCTGATGTTGTTGTTTAGTTTTCTTGGACTTTTTTGGGGTTTGCAAAACAAAAAAAAGGCGGCCTCGAGAATGCTGCTTCCCAAGTTTTTTTAGAAAAGCAGGGTGGCCCTGGACAGCCCCATTTTTTCCCCTTTCCCTGTATGATCTGCCCGCAGGAGAAGGCCACCTGACCTGATTTTGCAGACAGGAAATCCATCTAGGTCAACCAGACGGCCCCGGTGTCCCAGCGTACCCAGGTCCAGGCAAGGTCGCCGACATCCCCAGCACAAAATTCAAAAGATAAAGAACGTGTAATGAACCCCAGTGTCGTTGAGAAGCCAGCTAGCAACGCAATAGTAGTCTGAACCCAGTGCAGCTCAAGAAGTCTCCAACATCAATTACATGTCCATGTCTCGATCGTTTGCACAACTCAAGAGTGTTGTCGCATCGAAGAAGAGCATGAGAGAGAGAGAGAGAGAGAGAGAGAGAGAGAGAGAGAGAGAGAGAGAGAGAGAGAGAGAGAGANGAGAGAGAGAGAGAGAGAGAGAGAGAGAGAGAGAGAGAGAGAGAGAGAGAGAGAGAGAGAGAGACAGAGAGACAGAGAGAGAGAGAGAAGAGATAGAAGAGGAGGAGGAGAGTCTCAATGATAATCAGTAGTACATGTATGTCTGTCTCCCACTCCCACTTCGGGCTTCTCCGTCTTTGAAGTGAGTTTGAGAAAAATGTAAATGCGAAAGTGCCCCTGGGGACGGCGATAGGCTTCTCCTCAGGTGGGGGTCAATTTTAGTGTTGTGGAGTGCATAAGATCCTGTTGACATTTGGAGGGAGGGATGGTGTGTCAATGCTCCGAAGTGCGTTATACTTCTTTTCGAGGAATAGTTCCCCTTCATCTAGAAGATACTAGGTTTCTAAAGGCTTACTCACGTTAGAAGTTTTTTCCACATCTCTCTGGACGCCGTTTGAGGCTAGGTGCATCCAGGTGGGTCCAGGAAAGCGGTCATGATATCATATGCATGCAGGAAAGTCCTAGTGCGAGTATGCCCTAACACTGGATATATTGGATTTCTCAAACTAGACGATCCTAAAACGTCATTTGGTCGTTAGGGGCAGGTCTCCACTTGTGCTATGTCGGTGGAGCTTTGAAGGAAGGTCGAAAAAGGGGACAAATACGTGGTTTCTTAGCAGGAACGTTGTACCTATAGGGCCATATGCTATCTGTTGTATCATTCAGCCTTGCAGCAAGATGCAGATGTCAGTACGGTCTCACTCTGAGCTCCGCCCTTGTCGGGTAGCATCCTAAATATGTCCTATAGGGCCACGCGTTTTTTTTTTTTTTTTCTTTGTCCTTGATATGTTCTTGCAAAGCATTCATTTGATCTTGTTGGATTTGTCACCGAACGATTGTCGTTTATCCATGAGTAAGGCTATACTGCATGGCCGCTGTGCGCCCGTTGCATGGTGTTTCATGTGCGATGAGTTGAAGTCAGTGTGTAAAAGGGGCTTGCTCAGTTGTTTCCTGTTTTTTTTTTTTTTTTTTGGCGTCCTGGTTTCAGGAGTTTGCGGAGCGGTGGGAGGTTGATCGATATCTGAGCGCGAGTGGGTACCTAGGGGAGAATGCTAGATTGTTCTTTGTGGCTCTTCCGAAGGAGCGGACATTGGTCAGAAACGAGGAGTTCCGACGTCAGTTATCAGTTGTGGATTCTGACATATTACGACAGCTGCGTGAAGGGATAGAGGGAGGTTTCGATGAAGACAAGTACGGCACCCGTGTTGGTTTCAGCAACCTAAAAAGGTTCTTGGAGCAGGAGCTACAAAAAAGGTACGTGTTGGGTCGTGCAGGAAGAAGCCCAGTGCAGACTCTGCGCGCAGAAAGCAGCACGTTAATGGACAACGTGCAGCCATTCTTGCTAACAAGTTAACGACACACTGCAATTGAGGATTTAACTCACAATTTCTCACAAATGATTACCACGATGTGTTGAGGAACAGTGAAATGCCCAGCATTTAGACCACCGCCCTGGCTGTGCGAGCAAGAAAATGCCAGTCTTTCCGCTTCAGTCTGGGTACAACTCGAAAACGGGTCCGCTGGCCTTTCTGCTATCCACTGCGCAGAAACAGGGGGTCTGAATGACAACTTTTGCACCGGTTTCTTTTTTTTTTCCCCTGCGGCCCTCAAATCTGAAGAAGCCCAAGTTCGGTTGGGATACCGGTGCGGGCTCGGAGGTCGGCTACAAAAAGTGGGTGCCCTGGCTGTGCAAGTAAGAAAATGCCAGTCTTTCCACCTCAGTCCGGGTACAACTCAAAAACGGTCCGCCGGCCTATCTGCTATCCACTGCGCAGAAACAGGGGGACTGAATGACATCTTTTGCACTGGTTTCTTTGTTTTTCCCCCTGCGGCCCTCAAATCTGAAGAAGCCCAAGTTCGGTTGGGATACCGGTGTGGGCTCGGAGGTCGGCTACAAAAAGTGGGTGGTGATTCAGGTCACTATACTCCCTGACCACACAATGGCAATCTCTGCGCCCCTCAAATCTGAAGAAGCCCGAGTTCGGTTGGGATACTGGTGCAGGCTCGGAGGTCGGCTACAAAAAGTGGGTGGTGGCTTAAGTCACTATGCTCCCTGACCACACAAAGGCAACATCCGAGCAAAAGGAACCAATGCCAAACCCCCAGAAGCAAAGCCAATGGTTTAGTGGATCGAGGATTTCACTCACCATTATACAACAGCAATTGGAGAAAGAGTGAAATGGGAAGATTTGAGTCACTAGACTCTATAATCCCACAATCTCAACAGCAGAGCGAAATGAATGACAACCTCCAAATCAAATGAGCCAGGAGCTAAGGTTGTTGTTGTAGGCAGAGGACCTGCTCTTCAGCTTGTAAATAACTTCTGTGCTATAAATGGTGTGGTTAAAAAGCTGCTAGTATAGCAACATAGAAACGGTGACATGGAAGCTTTGTCGTGCACTCGCACTTGAAGCACCAGTCAGCAAGTAAGGCACACCGGTTAATCTGCGAGCCTTTTGTGGATGTACGGGCCTGCGTGTACGGAGTTAAAATTCATTCATGACAAAATGCGTCCAGAGGCCCGCAGAACGGTCTCTTGCACTGGTGGTGGTTTAACCATTCCAACGTCCTGGCATGGGGTCAAATTGGGGGGTGCCAAAGTGCTGAGTGGGTGCGCAGCCTTGTATACCGTCCGGAGCCTTGAACCACCAGCTTACAAGCACGTAAGTTGATGAAGCTATACCTTCCAAGGCTTGCGAGCCTGCAACGGTGCCTTGTCCAAAGTGGCCTGCTGCTTCTCCTATCAGCCCAGACCCGAATCGAAATGCTCTTGCCGCGTAAACTGGCAAGAACAGCACTCTGTTTCTGGCAAACTGGCCGTTTACATACCTCAAGTTGGTGGCCATAAGAACTTCTGCGCCAGCAGGTCTGATGTGAAATTACTGAGACGTTTTGTCGAGGCAAGTGCAACAGTCTCTGCGTGGTGCCTTTCATTTTTCACATGACGTTCCTACAATGATGTTATCTGCTTTTGGGGCGTTGTTAGGTTCCTTGGAGATAGCTTGGAGAAGCATCCCTGAGCTTGCGGCTCTGCTTTCCCACTACCTAATCATTGTATGTGAATGTTGTTGTCCTATCACTATCTCAGTATTTTCTCTTTACATTTGGAACCATCCTGTCCACTCTTCCCACTGAGTCCAGTCTCGTCCTCAGTCCTTCGCTGTGGGGTTTTCAACACCTTATCCAGCAATATCTTGTCCTATCACTACTGCCGCATTGTCTAGTCCTAAAAAAGGTGCTTGTGGCAAAGGTACGCCTTGAGGTAATAAAAAAACTCAAAAAATGAAGTCCATGAGTTTGAAATCCCACTACTGTGTTTCATAGCTTTTTATGAGGTTGCACTGGGATCCAGTGCTTGTTATATCAAATTCGCACCATGGATTTTGTCAGAAATGTTTGATGCTTCTTGGGGTTTTCTGTTTGATACTCCTAAAACCGTTCTGTTCCGACGCTGAGTGAGGTCTCGAACGATCAACACAATCTAGATTCCAATCTAATACTTGATTGGTCGGACCGGACCATGTTCGTATCAGTAATTGGCGAGACCGCGGAGAAGTCCGGAGATACGTGACGCAGAGTTTCTCTGAAATCAAACTCGTCTTCCTGTCACTTTGTCATGCCTGCAAACAGCGGTACAGCAACTGGCGACATGCCCCACACAGTACTCAAGATATCGTAACCAGATATGAGTTCTCTTCAACTGGCTATGGCGACTGGGCGCCCACACAACTCACTGTTCGCACCCTGGATCACCCTGGATGTCCCACACGCAACACTCAGTATCATACACAACACACACACATACTATGCTACAGCTATGGCAGCGCTAGCTGCCCCTACCCTATCGCTACACTACACTTCTCTGCCCACTTCGTCTTCGGGCGCACTGCAGACCGCCTCGCACAAGCTGCTAAGGCAGCGCTTCCGCCTGGCATCCGCAGGAATGAATCCATGAATGGACGTAGCCTCTTGATTTATAATTCTGTGCTGCATTGGTCTGCCCTGTGTCCCTGGCCCATGGTGCACACAGTTCCCCCCGTGGTACTTGCTGGACCGGACTGGTACTTTCTAGACTCTCCCTTGACTGTATGACGACGACCCTGCTTTAGTCACACCAGTTGCCCACTTGCCTGCATCACTTGACCACTTGCCTGCACCACTTGACCACTTGCCTGCACCACTTGACCACTTGCCTGCACCACTTGACCACTTGCCAACCTTCTAGAAGTACTGCAGCTAGCCTTCTGGTCTATAAGTCTACGGATCGAATCCTGGCTACCTATAGACCTACGACAGACCTACCTACCACTGGCGGTTCTACAGGTCGCAGGTTCAACTCTTCGAGTTGACGCAGGTATTGTACACAGGTAAGTTGGGGAACTAGGGATCGAGCCCTGGGATCTACCTCAGCTACCACGAATTGGTGAATACCGTTTCATCTCTGTGGATCTTGGAAATAAAAGAAGTCGGGTTTAGGGTTCCCCGATTTGTCACAAAACCCGAAGATGGTCTACAGGATTCATAGCAACACCACGACCGTCGGTGGTCAGGTGAGACTAACTAAGTAGTGTTGGCTGCTTTGACATCTACTGACTTCGTACCCTTCGGAAATAGATTAAATTATGCGGCGATGGGAGAACTAGGAGCCTAAATCGACGGACTTGGACTGCGAAACCAAGCACGTCGCATACTCGAGAGTTAAGGACATTTCTTCGTGTGTTGTGCGCTCAACGAATGGGACTAAGATGTACTTTGACTTCATACAGGTGCTGCATGGCTGTCTTCAGCTCGTGTCATGAGATGTTGGGTTAAGTCCTATAACGAGCGCAACCCTCGTTTTGTGTCGCTAAGACATGGCAACGATGTGCTGCACAGAACAGACGCCGTATCATGTGGTAATTTTCCACTATTTTACGTCACTCTCTGGCCAAAATGTGCGCAGCAAAATTCACACTTGGAACTACAGCTAAAGTATTCAAAATCGTGGGAAGGGATCTGCGTAAACGTTTGTGCCCTTTCCACTCTTCCCACTGAGTCCAGTCTTTTATCCTCAGCCTTTCTGCGTGCATTTTTCAACACCTTATCCCGCAACATAGTTCATGACTCACGGGTTGTGAAGAAACTGAATTTATCCTTTTTTTTTTTTTTTTTTTTTTTATTAACCATGCTACCGCGCTAGGGGGAGTGATATGAGCATCCCCTGAATTTACTAATTTTACTTCCATACTTGTCTGCTTGCACAACACTAACACGACCGTCTTCTTTGATCGAGCTCCACAAATCATCGCGGCATCTGTTTTGAAGAACCTTACTACGTTCCTTATTTATCTGCATATGTCATTGTATGATTGTATCCTTTTCTTTGACCCTCTTCCCTGCATCGGTATGCAGCCATGCTCTCCCAGTTCTCTCTCTTTTTCTTTTGTTCCTACCGTCTCGGCCATGCTTGGTCTTTCTGTTGTGCAGCGATTGCATCAGTGGACTCTTGAGTCTTAAGAGTATTAACCCCAAGAGTGAACTCTGATCCTTACGCCACTACTATCATGTGGAGTTTGCTTAACCTCGGATTTATTGTGCACGGGATTGTTGCATTCTTGCTGTGCCTGTTCTTTGCTAGGTATCGGGATTCTGCCCCGAACACCCTGGCACTTCTAGAGCAGCGGTGTTCTGAGATGGCTGTCGAGTTGCAGAAGAAGATGAAACAGCTTGAGACAGCAGCTGATGTCGCATTCCTCCGAGGCACAGCTATGGAACATGCTGACATATTCAGCCGCCATGTTGTGAGTATAAGGCCATGTATCGGTAACCCCCTGTCCTGTCTTTGTATGGCGGCAGTACAATGGCTGTGGTCCAATCTTTGTATGGCTGGCTACAGTCCCAAGTGGGTGTCCTGATCTGCAATGCGAAGACAGAAAGGGGTGAACGGTTCAATTCCTGTTCTCCAGTGGAACAAGGGGGAAAGAGGAGCAGGAGTGAGAGTGGGAGAGAGACACAAAGTGAACGGAAGAGAGGGGAGGTGAAAGAGGAAGTGAGGTGTGTGTCTGTTTGTGTGTGTGTGTGTGTGTGTGTGTGTGTGTGTGTGTGTGTGTGTGTGTGTGTGTGTGTGTGTGTGTGTGTGAGAGAGAGAGAGAGAGANGAGAGAGAGAGAGAGAGAGAGAGAGAGAGAGAGAGAGAGAGAGAGAGAGAGAGAGAGTATATGATCTCCATCTCCTTGTGATTTGTCTGGCTGGTTGTCTGAAAGCGGCTTGCCATTCAGAGGTGGGGTTTGTTGTGTAAGGCGAATGCAGTTTCACTAAGCATGTGTGCTTGGCATTTTTCTTCTTTGGCATATGTTTCTCTGGTGTGGATGGATGAATGGCAGGTGGAGTTGTTGGATGGTGCGACAGAGCCAGACCCATCAGAATGGGGGAAAACAACAGAAGAGGAGAAGTCGGATTGTGGCATTGGGAATTGGCCAGGTGTCAGTAGAGATGTCGAACCGATGAATGCCACTCTGCGATTGTATGGAGGAGCAGCTTTTGAGCGTTTGCTGGACGAATTTCAGTGTGCAGCCTGTGCTGTGGAGTGCCCCCCTGTTTCCAAAGAGAAGGTACGTAGATTGACAACCCTGAAGAAAAAAAAAAAAAAAAAAGGAAGACTCCATAGTGTAGGGATACTTAGAAGATACACTATCGAAGAAGTCCTACAGTCTATCGAAATAGTCTTTCAGGTCATCTGTTCAAGGACCAGTACATCCGAGGGTCTTTTTGCCGTGCCAGATTCGTTCTCTGCACCAAGCTTCGGTGTACAAGCAGCAGTGCACTTTTTGTGTTTCTTTTTTAATTGGCGCTGCCAGCCATTGTGGTCCGGTAGCCCTGAGCCCCCGCAATTCTCGGATTGGCTCGATTTCGATTCTCAAGCTTGACTGGGCGGTGTACTGGCGGTTTATAATTGGATTGATACAGATAAGATTAGCATGACCACTGTGCAAGGATCACGGAGCAGCTTTTGAGCGTTTGCTGGACGAATTTCAGTGTGCAGCCCGTGCTGTGGAGTGCCCCCCTGTTTCCAAAGAGAAGGTACGTAGATTGACAGCCCTGGAAAAAAAAAAAAAAAGGAAGATGCGATAGCGTAGGGATACTTAGAAGATACACTATCGAAGAAGTCCTCCAGGCTATCGAAATAGTCCTTCAGGTCATCTGTTCAAGGACCAGTACATCCGAGGGTCTTTTTGCCATGCCAGATTCGCTCTCTGCACCAAGCTTCGGTGTACAGCCAGCGGTGCACTTTTTGTGTTTCTTTTTTGGTTGGCGCTCTGCCAGCCATTGTGGTCCGGTAGCCCTGAGCCCCCACAATTCTCGGATTGACTCAATTTTGATTCTCAAGCATGACTGCACGGTGTACTGGCGGTTTATAATTGGAATGATACAGATAAGATTAGCATGGCCACTGTTCAAGGATGACGCAGCAGCCCCCGATTGGCTCAATTTCGATTCCCAAGCTTGACTGGGCGGTGTACTGGCGGTTTATAAGAGACAGATAAGATTAGCATGCCCGCTGTGCAAGGATGACCGAGCAGCCCCCACAATTTTCGGATTGGCACAATTTCGATTCCCAAGCTTGACTGGACGGTGTACTGGCGGTTTATAATTGGAAAATGATACAGATACGATTAGCATGACCGATGTGCAAGGATGATGCAGCGACATGGAGAAATGGCCCATGTGGGAAGTTGCTAGACAGCAGAGACACAAAAAGGGCTATCATATTTGTCTTACAAGTTTATAGGTTAAAAAAAAGAAAACACAGGTTGTATGCTTGCCACATGAGTACTGGTGGTCTGGTATCACTTGGACCCATAATTCACCCCCACACCAGTGACACCACAAAGCATTCATATGGCACGAGAGGTGTTTGTGTATTTGTGCCCCGTGTTTTCGTTGGATGCCAATGGATGGTGTGGTCTGTCTCATCAGGTTGTCAATGTATTGTTTTCAGTTGTGTTGGTTGGATGGGCATGGTATTGTGATGTGCTCTGGGCTGGAGGAGGAGGAGGGGTGAGAGAAACAGAGCACACACACTGACGGCAGAACTCAAACGCAGGACTGAACTGTTGGGATGAAGGGCGGCTTGGAGAACAGTACCAGCAACAACTCGGTGTGGAACGCACACTGCAATGCCCTGCAACAGAGTACAGCCCAAGATGTCCCACCAGTGTGTGGGACTGGTACATATACCTGGGAACAGCCTAAGAGCTCTCGTAGGCTGGCCTCAGGAGTATGCACAAAATAAGTTGGTACCAGGAGAGTACCAGTAAAAATGTCCAAAGGAGAGAAATGTGAAAATGTGCTGGTAGCGTGGACGTGTCTGAGGTCCAGATCCATAAGGGGAGGCAAATCTAACTTCGCAAGCATGAGGTCCAGGGATTGAACCCTGGTGAGATCCAATATCTCTTTTTTTTTCCCAGGTTATCAACGAATTGTTGTAGAGTGTCTGTGTATTCGTGGCTCGTATTCTGATTCGATGGTAGAATCTGCTGTCTTATCAGATTTTCAGCTTTGCTTCTTTGTCCTCTTCTTCTTCTTCTTTTTTTTTTTTTTTTGTGCACAGGAGCCATGCTAATCTTCTCTGTATCGTTTCGATTTTAGTGGATGTCCCAAAGGGCAGGTTTTCAGCATATTGTATTGCAAGGAAAATGAGCAGAGCTTGTTATCCTCCGGCTGACGTTGCTGCTCTAATAGTAGTTTGCTGCTCTTGTCACTTGTTGCTGACACGGCTGGTGGCAGAAATCCAAATTACAACATCACATGTCCAGAAAGCAGAAATGCACCAATACCACACCAACGGAGACCAAAGCAATGAACTCAGTTGTCAACGTCATCCCTCATCTCGCCTCCATCAACAATGTGTCCAATGTCTCTTCTCCTACTTGGCGCTAGGCGCCCAGACTACAATCACACAGCTCCTATACTAGCCTACCCCACAATGCCGCAACCAGAAGACTTCAGCAGGGGAACATGAAGTACGTGCAGATGTCGCCCATGCAGACGTCCGCGACGAACCATGTATGTCCCTTCTCTCACTCTCTCTCTCTCTCTCTTTACCCCCACACTCTGTCCTCCTCCTGAAGTCCGCCACGATTACCCGGCCGACTTGCATGCACGTACGGCCTGGCTATGGCCGACGTGCAGCGCTTTACTCCAGCGCTCAACCCCACCTGTGCCGTGTGCGCTTTACTCCAGCGCTCAACTCCACAATGCTCGCGGCCCATCAGCGCTCCAAATGGCAGCGCTGCCGCAATGCACAAAGTGCCCGAATAAGTGGCAAGCAGGCGGGCACTTTCCTATATGGAAAGTGCTTGCCTGTTTGGGAAGCCTGGGTCTGGCGACCGTGTGCCCAGAAACTTCACGTTGGGCCAAGTGTCTGCGCCCAGGCCCGATTCAGATACCGGCCTGGGACCGAAGCAGTTAGGCCCGCCCAACTGTGCGGTGTGGCCTGTGTCACTCATTGCTTCCATGTCACTGCCTGGAAGAGCCTAGAAGGTTCACGATGTCTGGGTCACACTGCATGCACGACCCCGTAACCAACTGGCACCTGGTAACTGTCAAGCGCCCCACGAGCAGGCCAAAAAGTAGGCTGCGCGTTGAAATTCAGGCCCGTCTTCCCTCAGGGCGGGCAAAATGCTTGCAGGGGCCCCTGTTATGATCCTGCCGAGGACAGAGATCCTTGCAGTTTTGCGTTGTTTTTGTAAAAGGGCGACATCCTTTGAGATATCAATTGGAATCTGAAACTGATCGGCCCCAGGCAATTCAGAATTATTTTATTTCATTCATCTACTTGCCTCTGGATATGAAATCAGGGTCTGCATTTCAACAGTTCATGGGTGTACCACCTGAGCTAGGCTTGTTGTTTTTACTCTTGTTTTGGTTGGATGGTCTGACGCTTTTTTTTTTTTTTTTTCCTCCCAGGTTGTCAATATATTGTTAGCTTCAGGAGGTCGAGGGATGTTGGCGGCAGGAGCAGCGGCACTGGATATTGCCAGATCAGCAGTCCGAACCTGGTTGGGACCCCTGCTAGATACAGCCTGTGATCGTCTTGCTCATGTACTGAGGTCATTGTTCGACTTAGCTCTCCAGCGGCTGGCTATCGACGAGGATGGAGGAACAGGTAACGAAGGGGGTGATGACCCACCCACCCTATGTGTGCGGTCGGACGAAAGCCAATTCAAAAACCAGCTGTATGCCTTGTGAACCTTCCTTCATCCTCCATTTGCTTTTGAGCCCTCCAACGACAATTGGGCCCAATTATGGGAGCTATGAATCCCACCAGAAAATGGGCCCAATTGTGTCATTGGAGGGCTCAAATATGGGTACTGGAGTGTTTTAGCATTCTTTCTACGTTGGGGGCAGACAATGTCGGATGCCATGGGAAAAATCAACTTGAGTTTTTCGAAAAGAGATTTGAAAAGATATGGTAAAAAAAAACTTGTCTGATCACCTTGTGACAGCTGATTGGAATGCCTTACATGTGGGCTAGTCCTTGGAATGCACATTTGCGATACCAGTTGTGTCCCGTGGGTGGCCTTGACTCACTGGGAGCTGAACGGGTTGCTTGGATGGGCTCCTGGGCAGTTCCACTTCAGTGCTGACCAGGTCTAGTCTGGGTGGCCTCCAAGGGGCTTCATCAGTGTTCCCCACGTCACCTACCCATAATCGCCATTGCTGCCATCGCCCGTATCACATGCCTGTGTGGCCACCATCAACAAGGGAAGGAGCTGTTTCTCCTACGTCTTCTCGTTCTCCTCCTCCTCGTCCTTCTGCTTCGTTCTCCCCTTCTCCTTCTCCTCCTCCTCTCCTTCTCCTTGTCCTTCTCCTTCTGTCCTTCTCCTTCTCCTTCTCCTCCTCCTCCTCCTCCTCCTCCTCCTTCTCTCCTTCTCTCCTTCTCTCCTTCTCTCCTTTGCTCCTCCTCCTCCTCCTCCTCCTCCTCTCCTTCTTCTTCTCCTTCTCCTCCTCCTCCTCCTCCTCCTACTCCTTTCGTTCTCTCCCTCTTCTCGTTCTCCTCCTTCGCCTCTTCTTTCTCTTCCTCTTTCTCCTTCTCCTTCTCCCTCTCCCTCTCCTTCTCCTTCTCCTCCTCCTCCTCCTCCTCCTCCTCCTCCTCTCCTCCTCTCCTCCTCCTCCTTCTGTCCTTTTCTTCCTTTTTTCCTTTTGCAATCAGTGGTGTATCTGGCCTATAGAAGTCGGTATTCTCATGATTTGTTGAAATGCAGACTCAAGTTCGACTCCAGATACCGTCAGATGAACAGATCAAAGTCATACTTCTGAATTACCTGCGGCTGGTCAGTTCAGTGATGATATCTCAAGGTCGCCACCATTTGTAAAAAAGTGGTGTACCGTGTATCTCCTCAAGTCTGTTGTGTTTTGTTTTTCCCCTGCGTGTCTACAGGGCCTGTCTGTTTGTGAAATGTGCTTGTTGTCCGTTCGCTGTCTATCTGTATTCTCTTTGCAGTCTGTCCAGCCATGTGTTTGCTCGTTGCCCATCTGTTTTCGCTGTTTCTTGTGGGAGGCTGTTGGGGATTGCGGGATTTGAACCCGCAACCTGCCCAATTATCTGCTGCATTTCAACCTTCTGCTATTTTTGTTCTTGCGTGGATTTGAACTGGGTAACAAACAAAGTGTGAATAGTTGTTTTGTTTTCTTTTTTTTTTTTTTACTGTTCTGAAGCAGATGAGTTTTCAGCCCGCGACCTGTGTGTACAGTCCCTAATTGCCTAGCATAGTTGTAGGATCTTTTTTTTTTTTTTTTTTTTTTTTTTTGAAAAACAGAACCTCTTGGTTCTGGGTCCTACCATTCTGGGGAGCAACGGTCCGGTTCCTTTCCCCCAGCAAGTCAATAATAGATACATAGGAAACACACGCACGCTCCCCCCCATTTTGGCTGGTTAACTTAGGCAGGGGTGAGGGGTGGTAAAACCTTCCTTAGGGAAGTATTCAATGCCGTCCACTCGGGCCTATCTCAGTTTGCCAGAACATGTAATCCCAGTTCCTATCTTACTATCTTACTATCCGTATCCTATATTCCTTGAACCTTACTACCCCCTTTGCTTATCCTTCCTTGCCTTGCCTCTTTTTTATTCTTATGGCATCCTAAGTTCCTGTGTCAACAGCTGATCATCTATAGTGTCCTCCTGGTGCTCGTCTTTAAACCAATGAAAGATGAGTCTCTCTCCTTCTACCGCCGCGACTTTTCCTTGGGCTATTACCCTTTTCTGAAATTTGGTTAAAATAACCTTTGCCCTTTCTGGGTTAAGATCCACTTGCTTCTTTGTCCTTCTCCATAATGCCCTAATCTCTGTCTCCAACAGGCTATAGAGAATTGCCTTGGCTTCCACTCTAGTCATCAGAATCTTGCCCACCGCCTGCTGACATCTTCGTTTCCGTATTGTCCATAAAGTGTACTGTCTGAGAAGCTGAACGATATATTTGTGGCCTGCCCGCCATTCCTTAGGCATCTCACTTCCCATCAATATTAGTTTCCTGTTTCGTGGGAAGGGGACCTCCGTAGTATGTGTCCACAATGAACGAGCTATGGACCAGAGATGTTCTGCTTCCGGGCAATGGAGCAAGCAATGGATCAGAGTTTCTTGAATGCCTCTCATACACATAACACAGTCTTGATCTGCCTCATTCCTATTGAACCTGCTTTGCTTATTGAACAGCCAGACATTGACTGGGAGTGCGACATGATAGATGAGCCACTGCATGCTCCTAACCTTGGCCAATCTGATACAGTGTAAAGTTGACCATGGTATCCTTTTTACCTGTTCCCTTGGTATATCCAATCTCTTCTCCCATCTTATCGCCAAAATCTGATCCAGATGGCATGATCTCCCCCTCAGACGGTAGCCCAATTTAGTGGTGTACTGAAGTATATTAATTCTCCTGCTTACTCTTGACGAGCTTCCCCTGATGTTCCATGCCCATTCTGCTGGATCAATTTCCAGGTCCCTACTGGATGTCAGTGGCTCAAATATCATAAAATCTTCATTCTCAACCACTCTGACCTTTCTTAAGACGTTTTTCTTAATGGCGATCGGAACTTTGGAATCCTTATCCAGCATACTGACCGTGACTCCTGGAGATAGTATTGTGAACATATCTGCTTCCAACCACTTTTTAGAAGTTTCGACCTCCTGTCTTATGCGAATGGCTACTTCTGGTTCATTAGTAGAGGCTATTGTTGCCCAATCCCCTCATCCCCATTTGTCTGGTTCCTTCAATGTCCTTGTCCACTCATCCGGGATCGAGATAAGAATGTCATTCAGGTTTTCAGTTAGTCTGTGACAGCCCTTCATTTCTTCCCTCAGCTCCCTACCTGTTTTCCATCTCCCCTTGCTGCCTGACCAGAGATGTTTTACCTGCCATACTCCATGCTCTAACCACTTACCCCACTTGGCGTCCTTTGCTGGTAGTGTTCTAGGTCTTCCTTGAGAGTCTTTCAACCATGGATTACAAAATAACGGCTGTCTAAGCACTTCATCCTTCTTCTTGGGTTGTCTTACTCTTGCCGAAAAGGCCTCCGCCCATATTTTGAGCAATTGAGCCCAATATGTACCTCTAGTTGCATCATCCTCTGCTAATTGTTTCCCATTCTATCCTTCTTAGCCCAACCCATTCTATCCTTCTTAGCCCAACCCTTGGAGAATAGCCAGAATGTATTGGAAGGCGTTTTGTATCTGGCCATCTGTCGTATGTGGTCAAGTACCAATGGGACCCACGTAGCCAGAATGTACCCTTCATATTGGAAGGCGTTTTGTATTTGGCCGTCTGTCGTATGTGGTCAAGTACCAATGAGACCCATGGAAGGTGAGGCTGTGTTAACAACTTAATGATCCACTTAGTTTGAAGTGACCTTATCTGCTGCCCCGGATCCAATACTCCTAGCCCTCCCTTGTCCTTTGGTTAAAAAACTTGGTTCCATGATACCTTTGATATAAAGTAGGACCTTGTTGGATTGGCTGTCCACAAATATGTTGCTGCCACCTTCCTTAGTTTTTGTAGTGTATATGCAGGTGGTGACCATATTGTTCCAACATATCATAACATAGAGAAGATTGAAGCATTTATGACTAGTCCCTCCCGAACAGTGAGATATGTATTTCCGACCACACCGCTAGTCTTAATAGCATTTTTGTCATCTGTTCAGGCGCCATGGAGTGGTGGGGATCCGTGTCCGCCAGTCTGATCCCTAAGTATCTCATTGTCTGATCCGGTGGTAACCAAGTCATCCCCGCATAATTCTCAGGCTGATATTGTGTCTGTTGGTCGTCATGTGATACCCACCACCCCAGCGTCTTCGACCAATTAATTCTCATCTCCGATGCAATCTGGAATGCCGCCATTGCTCTCGTAAGGGCTTGAAATGAAGAGTCCGTTGCTCTGATTAGTACCGTCAGATCATCCCCAAATAATATTGTTGTTGGTATATGTGTGACACATCCCTGCCGATCCGGTTCAGCAATCAAATGGTCTATTGAAGGGTCTTTCCTGAGGAACGAGGCAATAACTTTCATTATAAACAAGAAAATAGCAGCCGGTAAAGGGTCCCCTTGCCTCACCGGCCTGGTCATTTTATACCTATCTTACAGGTAGCCATTAACTTGGATCTGTCCGTGTGCATCATTATACAGTACGCGAATCCATTGACGAAAGTTAGGGCCCACTCCCATCTTCTCCATACATTGCTGTAAAAAATTCCAGTTGACTTTATCATATGCTTTTTCAAAGTCGAAGAAGAGGATCGCTGCGTTCATCCTCTTATTCGTAATGTACCTTACTGATTCTGATAAAGTCATGACATTATCCAATATAAATCTTCTGAGAATGAAACCTGTTTGCCTTCTGTAATTTTCTTGAGGCGATTAGCCAGAGCTTCAGCCACAATCTTATGAGTAAGGGACAACAGTGTAATTGGTCTGTAATTTTTGATATCCCTAGGGTCTCCCTTCTTATATAGCAGAGTAACGATGCCTGTCGTCGATTCTAACCCCAAACCCTCTCTCTGCCAAGCTTGATTAAGAAAAAAATCATACTCTCCTCCTAGTATAGGTCAATACTCCACCCAAAATTCTTTAGTCAATCCATCCCTACTCGGCGTCTTATTAGGAGGCAT